GAGGAAAGGAGGGAGAATACAAACCCAGCAGCCCGAGTGGAACTCTTGTTAGCTAGGCTTTCGTGGTGCAGTGCTTTTGCTTTGGAAACGGTTTACAACAATAGAACTTGCTTGCCTGGTCCACTTTTGATGGGATGGCAGGTCTGAGTGTGGGCAGAACTCAGGGAGTTCTGACTGCTCTCCTTGGAGCACAGTGGATAGACACATAGTCCCTTACCGACATTACACTGAATGTTGCGACTACTTAACAATAGCATTAAGAGACAGGCTTCTACGTAGCCTACAGTCGAGCGGTGCTGCTGTGCCCAGCACTGGTTGGTGTTAGTGTAAGGTCAAGCAGTTTATTTTACAAGTCACAGGATGAGAATGCTCCGGAAATTACACCCAGTGTTACCGTTAAAATCCTACACAGCCCTTCTGTTCTTTGTAGGCCTGCTTTACGATCCTAAAAGAGAAGGAATGATTGTTAAGCACGTGTGAAGTGTCCAGCAGAGACAAAGGCAGCCGGAACGCTGCTGAACCACAAACACACCCTGCCTGCGTGGCATGCTTAGTGTGGTTAGCAGCATCTTTAATTGAAGGAATTCTGCAAAGTCTCAGGAATATAGGTTTTGTACCCAACGTGTCTAGGGGCCTCTTGAAGGGTGGCACACATGCCTACACCTAAGCAACCACATAAGTGTCATGCCCACATAAGTGTCATACCCATAGGCAGAAGTTCTGTCCCACCCAGTCCTGCAACCAGAGAATGCCTGGGTCTCCTGGGTCTCCTGTGTCCTAGGCAGGGACTCACTCTCTCCGTGTTCCTCTTCCCAGAATTCTCCTAGCCTTTACTTCCTGCTTGGCTATACTCTGCCTGTCCATTGGCTGAAACAGCTTTATTCATCAACCAATTAGAGAAACGTATATTCACAGCATACGGAAGAACACCCCCCACCCCATCAAAGACCCTTTCTTTCCTAGGTCAAAGTTTACAAGCTCCTCCCTTTGTTTTTGTTTGTTTTCTTTTTCCTTTTTCTTTTTTCTACCATCCATAACAGCGAGAGAACTTGGTTGCCAGCCAGTTGATGGTCCTTCTGGGACCATGACCCAGAGCAGACAGATGTGCTCCCACACCAAGAGTCCCCTATTATGGGATGCACTGGTACTGGCAACTCAGCTAACGACCCTCTCAAGCTCAGGCCCATTGCAACTGTCTACAGATGGTTCCTAAAGTGCAAATCTTAAAGTCATAGGCGACCTGCACTCTGCTTCCCTCAGTCTGTACCCGGGCAAGATGCTGAATCACTGTCGAACTGCCTGGTGCCACACAGAGAAAGCAGGCATGTCTTCAACGCTCCACTCAGGCTGTGAGTTCGATACCAACCACTCACCAGCATAGATCGAAACATGGATTTGAACGGAAATGTACACACAGAGACAGAGCTCTGCATACCCATCACACCGGTCAGAGCCCAGGAACCTGGCCTGCTTCCCTGGGACAGCATCTCTCCAGCATTCACTGACATCAGAGAACACAGTTCTTAGGGATAACGAGATTGCCTGCCGTGTGTTCTCAGTAATTATCGCCAAATCTGAAGGAAAACTTGAAAGTCAAAGAACAAAGTGAATGCCTCTTGGTTCCTTGCCGCACCTGGGCATTTCCTCTAACTTTCTGTTGGGGAAATCTTCCTAATTGTACCCCAATTCTGATCTTTATTTGACTTGTGTGGGGGCATGCAGTACAGTTACGTTGTGCACGAGTAGCATGTTATTGAGGAGTAAACCTTCAGTTGTCCAAAGCCTCTTGGGTAGGAAGAGTTCTCTGTGAGCCCCTCCCCATCCATGCTGAACTTTTCACTGGCTCGATCTTGTGCAGGTGTTGTGTAGGAAACCCCCAGCCACTGTAAATTCATGAGTGTAATATCCCCATCACCATCGCAGCAGTACTTTTGCTAACCTCTGGGTCTTGCAGTCTTTCCTCTCCGTCTTCTGCAATGGTCCCTGAGGTATCGGGGAGGCAGCATGTTATAGATGGCTAGTTGAAGGCCAACCATCTGCTGAGGAGAAACCCATAAGCCTAGAGGTCATGCCCTGTAAACCAGCTCGAGGACATGCTTATCCTGTATAGTCCAACGTCAGAGTCAACTGATTTACAGCTCAGGGCATGCCTTGCTGTGGGTACTCTAAGGGTAGAGCTACCCAGCTAACGGCAGTGCAGGAGGACACATGGTGGTGGTGGTGGGGCTTCCATAATCCATACCATGTGACCACAGAACTTATTTCCAGTGTAGTTGGTAGAAAAGGGTGCATCCTAGAGAAGGTTCTAACAGTTTGATTCGTTCCTGATCAGAGCTCCAACACTGTGTGGGCCAGGGTGAGTGACTTTGGAATAATTGTTGGCCCAGGAGGTCCTACCACAGCTCCTGTCCAAGTGTTCACTGACACTATCACCAGAGCGGCTTCCTTCTCAGGCCCTTATAAGACCTCACGCAATGACCCTCACTCACTGAGCATTATTTTTTCCTCTCCCGAAGACCAACCCCCTCCCCCAGCCTCTCCTCTTGCTTTCTCAGCAAACTATTTGGAGTGCTCCAAGAGTGCCATAGGGTCTCATCACACCCGATCAACCAGGGAGGTCCCACAGGGAAGATTCTCCGAGGCAGGGTGTCCCATGTCTTAAAGACCGTAAATGCTGTGTGTGGCAAGGGAATGCGGAGCTCCCTGTGTTCTCTGTAGAACCAAGGGTTACAGGCTTCCGAAGCGTAGCTTCCCAGCAGAGGAGCTGGGCCGCTCCCTAGGCTGATCTCTTTCAACCTTGCAAGCATTGCGTGCAGCTAACCAACAGCTGCTGGGCTGCCGTGGGCCCGGGCAGGGCATGCAATGTGGCAGCCCCTGTCCTTGGTTGTTTCCCCCTCTCCTGAGCATCCAAGGCCAGGGGCAGCTTCTTTTTCATAAGCAAGAAACACACACACAGAGAGAGCATCCGTGAAGCCTGTTCCTAAGTGCCCAGTGTCATTGCCAAGGACTCAAGTGACACTTTTGACCACCCAGGTGCTAGACTTCTCCTAATGAGTTCTTGGACACCACAAGGCTTATTTTCAGTGACGTTGTCCCGCCCTCACTGGTGGATGCTCTGCTCAGGTCCCCTAGAGACATCGGGGGACCCTGTGCCTAGTCCTGGGGACTACTCTGATACAGAAGTCCATGAGGTCTGGGCACTCATGGCACATTCAGGCTTGACTCAGGTCTTGGACAACCCTCTGCCACGGGTGTTCCCAGACATGGTGAGGAGGGGGCGGCCACAGAGGCAGAATTGTCAGCATTTGGAGATCACGCTGTTACCTATCTCCAGGGTTTTAGCAAACAGGCCCAGTTCTGTCCCTCGTTCCTAGAAAGTCCTTCTGGAGATACAAATCCAGGACTGATTTGGGGAGGTGTGTGGATACAGACAAAGGTGAGATCTCCTTCCTCCGTAGGAGCAGGGATTGCTGAGGAATGATGGCAGCCACCCCCCCCACACACACACCCTGTGCCCACATAAGCACCACAATAACTTCAAAGTTCTCTGGATTCTCAGACAGGAAAGCTGAACACAGAAATTCCTCAGTTTTGTCATACAGCAAGACACATTTGAACGAGGTGACAGTATGGAAAAATAATGCCAGCATTCCTATGGATTTTAACGGAATGTGAGCTCTGGACGTTTGTGGCATGACGCCAGGGGGTTAGTCCTCCTCAGAGACAATAACTCCCCAGTACAGATCTCAGGGAGGCCAAAGTGATTCTGGGTCGCCGGAATGGTCACTATCCGCCTTGCCACAGCAAGCCAGCTTCCGCCCACGGTGCGCTGGAGCGCTGGGCTGACTGGAGGGTGGTGGACCTGAAATCGCAGTAGTTGAGATGAAGATATCATGGGCAGGGATCGTATGTCTCAGTCCACAGACAAGAGTGTGTGGCTTAAAGAAAGGCTCAGACCCAGCAGCATCTTAGCTGGGCAAGGGCAAACGACTGCCGAGCCCGTGCCGAGGGTGGGGAGGGTGGACGGGGGTGGTAGGCGTGTGGTAGTTTCGGTCTCAGGGGCAGTTCTGCACTCCGACCAGAGTGCGGGGCTGGTGAGGGTGTGGGGACTTTCAGCTGGTGTGTGGAAGCTCAGCAGCTGGGCTGCTGCTGTTCCCGCTGCTAGCCTGTCACAGGATCTGCCCTCAGACGGTGCTTAAGGTGTCCGTTCATGAAGAGTCTAAGGGTCATTGATTGTGGAGACAGAGGGCTGACCTGCCTTCAAGAGCAGACCCTACACACACAGTCCTGTGCTTCCTGCGCACAATCCCCGGCCCCTGTGCCACAAGGGAGTTCCACAGATGATTTCAACCGTAAAGCGATGCATTTCTTCAAAGCCGCGTTCAGCGTGGCCTCCACAAAGCTCCAGGCGGTTTTGGTAATTCCTGCCTAGCAACTTCCTGGCAGCGACTTTCGTATTAAGTAGCTCTTAATGATGCGATAGGCCTTCAAGTGGCTCCTGCGGGAAGGAGGTTTGAAAACACTTCTCCCCACTCTGCCCTCGGCTCTTGGTGCTCGAGAACGAGGTCCTTTTCTACAACAGCTTCCCCTTTACACACGCAGGAACACCCGTCCCCTTTGTCACGTGTGAGTACTTTTCTTTTGGTAGGAGTACATCCCTTGCCCTTGGGAGGCAGAGGCAGGCAGATCTCTCTGAGTTCTAGGCCAGCCTGGTCTGCGGAGCAAGTCCAAAGCTACGCAGAGAAACCCTGACTTGGGAAAAAATAAAGAGTGCACCGTCAGTGCAATGGTGTGTATGTGTTTGTGCATACATGTGTGTATGCATATGTGTGTGTGTGTGTGTATGTGTGTGTTAGAGAAAAGTCATCAATAGAATTACTAGACATGGTAACAGAGGCTCAGTGTCCAAGAGAAACAGAAGCAGGAACAGTAAGGCCTGGCCTGGGTGCTTCTAACATATTGATGTAGGAATAACCTTGTCCCTAAATGATCTCTTCCAGAGTTCTGGGGCCAGCGGTGACCTTCAAAGTGAGCGCCAACATCCAAAACATGACAACCGCAGACGTCATCAAAGCCACAGGTAAGGCTGTCTTCTTGTGACTGTGTGTGCTCATGCATACACACATACACACGCGGCCGTGGCAGAGAGCAGTCTGGAACCGCACTGTCGTCACTGGCCAAGTCTGAGGTGGCGTGACTAGGGTTGAGCCCAGCTGGGCCTCCTCGTTTTGTTCTCCTCATGCGCTGGCCTGGGCCTCCTCCTTTGGTTTCTCTAATGCGTTGTTGGCCTGGGTTTTGCCAAGAGACCTTGTTGTGTCTGAGCCGTGAAGCTCTGCAGATTGAGGGTTGGCATCTGTAGCTCTGAGTGAGAGGACTTCACGCCGTGCCAGCCGGGAGCACTCTGGATTTGCAGCTGGCCCCACGGGACCCATCTCAGGGTCTAGAGGTGTGAGAGAACACAGTGGCTTCTGGAAAGCTTCAGGGCATCTCTGAGACCTCTGTCCCGGTGAACTAGTAGTGAGCGTAGAGATGTGATCAGCAATGTCGCTGGAAAACACGACTGGTTAGCTCCCTGGAGGAAGGGGCAGTTTGTACATCTTCCATACTGCGTTCTGACCCACCGAGCGCTCCTGTGGGCAATGGTCTGTGAATCTTGGTCGTGAGGAAGGTCACGTAGCATAACACGTAGCTCTGGCGTTTGGAATGACTTGCCTGAAGGATGTTCACACTCTTAAGTCTATTTCTGGGGAGGCCAGGCTGAGGGCACAGTCCCAGACACGGAAGAGTACCGGTCCCCTTCAACCTTTACGCGTTGCTAAATTCGTGAGTTGTTTTTGGTACTGACCCATACATAAGTGGCTTTAGACGCCAGTGTTCCTACCAACTTCGAGACTGGTAACACTTCACCCGCCGCTGAGCCGTCACTGAAGTGTGTGCGGTCAGAGCACTTTGTGACCGGCCTCCTCCTCCGTGTCATGGCGCTTTCCCTTCCCTGGAACGGCTACACCACCACAGGTGTTCAAGCCACGGGGTTCTCCCTGCTTGAACATGTATAGAGCTGCAAGCACGTGTACAGAGTGTAAAAATATGTGCTCCTTTCATGTTCTTAACAGTACCGTTGTTATTACGGGTGGACTTGATGCTGTGTGAGGAAAAAATAAGGCTGAGACCGTCAGCCCACGTACTGTGAGCATCCACTCACACCTCCTAAGAGGGGGTGAGAATGGGCGGCCTGCCGAGGGATGTTCCGGGTATGGATAAAGAAGTAGGATTTTTGTCTTAAAAGGCATTTCCAGGACCCTTTCGTTTCAGAAGGTGACGTAAACCTTACCAGTGTCGTCAAAAAACTTCCTAATGTCTTATTGGGGCAGGCACAGTTTGGAACGTCCCTGGTGCTTACGTCAGTAAACCCAACAGAGCCTTCTGTAGAAGTTCCTGGAATTATGATAAGGCACCTGAAAGCCCACTCACAGCTTACATTCGGCCTCTGAGGAACCGAGTGGCACAGAGACTTCCTTTTCCGTTAGTGAAGGAGGTGTAACCCTGGTAACAGAACTTACATTTTTTTTTTTGCCAATTTTGTAAAAACTGATACGTAAATTAGCGAACAGGTATACACTTAATACCGAATCTGTCCCCACCAAGCGCCACACCGTGTTAACACTGCATGGCAAGTGCGATCACTCCGGCCATTCACAATCTCTTCCTGGTCCCAGGTGACTCCTTTCTGGGAACCCTGCTTCGATAAATTTATCTTAGGTCCTACTTTCTTCTGTGATTAAGCTGTATTAATTATACAAAGATCGTGGGCTTCACCGTGACATTTTCCTACACCTCCGTATGTCCTCTGGTCACACTCATTCCCCACGACCCTCCCTCTCTCTCCGTTTTCCCCTTACCCTCTGCTGCTCTACTCTAATAATCCCCTTCTATTTTTTCGTATCCCTTTTTCAAAGCACAGGCTCCACACGTGAGAACACAGAGCCCTTGTCTCCGCCCTTCTGACTTGCTATGTTGCCCACCGCCATCTCCAGTCTCGCCCATTCTCCCGCAAATGGCACGGTCTTGTGCTTGCCCGTGGACGAGCGGTCCTCCACTCTGTCTGCCTTGTGCTTGCCCGTGGACGAGCGGTCCTCCACTCTGTCTTGTGCTTGCCCGTGGACGAGCGGTCCTCCACTCTGTCTGCCTTGTGCTTGCCCGTGGACGAGCGGTCCTCCACTCTGTCTGTGTGGCAGTCTACTCACTCGCTTGTCCCCTGATGGGAGTCCTGCCTAGTAGGAACCTGGGGATGAGTATCAGAATTTGTGGCTGTTAAGGCAGCGAGTCGTATACAAAGATGTGCGTCCTGTGCCTAGGAGGGCGTGGTGACACTGGTAGTCACGGTGGTTCTGTGCCTGGATTGTCAGCCAGTGTGACAACCACAGAAAAGTCTGTCCTCCCTTCCTTCCTCCCTCCCTCCCTTCCTTCCCCCCTTCACTCCATCCTTCCTTCTTTTTGACACTCATTACTGTTGCGGGATTCCCGCCTGGGTCCCGCTGCTGCTTTAGCCCCCAAATAACACACGAGATGCTATATTAATTTTGAAGCTGTTGGTCATTTGCTATGATTTCTTAATGGCTAGCTCTGACTTAATTACTAACCCACAATTACTAGTATATATTTTTATAAGGTCTTATCTGACCGAGAATGCCAGACTTGCACCCTCTCCTCCCCAAATCGCTTGGAGACTCTCCGCTCTTGACTACATTTCCCAGAATCCTCCTCCACTCCTAGTCCCACATTATCTTGCTTCCCTGTTGGCCAACAGTGCTCTATTTATCAACCAGTAAGACAGGGCTTCCCCCGTCACATTGCATTTTTTCATTTTTCTGATTAGCGGGAGACTTTCATGCCATGCGCTTTAAATTCACTCCTCAGTTTCTCTCAGATCCACTTTTCCTCACCTGCCCGACTTTTTGTGATCTTTTCTAAAACCCATCAAATCAGTTTGTGCTGCCTAGACACTGGTGGGTGTGGGGCCTACTCTACAGCATGGTCAACCCACTGGGGGGGGTCACACACACCCTTAACAAAAACTACCCTCCTCAACGGCCAGTAGCCCCCCAGCTAGGGGGTGGGGCTTTGTGCCCATGGTCGCCTTTCCAAAAAAAAATTTTGTTCTTACTCTCATTTCATTGGGAGTTTTCCCTTAATCCTTGGTTTCTCACCAACTTTTGTATTTCCCTTTTCAAAACCAAAAGGCCCTTGCTCATCTTGTAGAGGCAAGAGTGTACATTTCCTCCATCTCTACGGGGACTCCACGGATTAAACTTTGCACTAAGTTACCCGTAAGCACCTGGACACGCTCATTCTGCCTCTGCTTCGTGACCCTAGGTTGGGCTTTTCCTGCCAAAGTTATTCTTCTACCTCAGCAGCCGCGGTGAGTGATTTCCTCACCGCCACCGGGCATGCCTGGCTCCTTTGAGGGCTCTTTACTCAGGAGTCGTCTATTCCCAACCAGTCTCAGGGGGAAACAGTTCAAAGGCAAGGTAACATGATCTGGAACCGTACCAGCCGAAGGGTTTCAGGCAGGTGACAAAGCATGGCTTGCATTTTAGTGGTATTAAAAAAAAACAAACTTTTTTTAAAATTCAGACTGAGATACCAAGATGTGGCGAGAGGGAGACGATGAAGGGGAGGAGGAGGCAGGTGAGCGGCATGGATGCTGACCGGGGTAGGAACAAGGGAGGGGACACGAGAGGCCAGTGACAGTCCTGTGAATGCAGATGGCCCTGTGGACCGGGACAGCGATGATGCGGACAAGGGAAACCACATGGGTGGGAACCGCAGGCAGAGGCAGCAAAAACGGCAGAGCCTGGTCGGAGGGGACCTCAGGGCAGAGGTCAGGGGCCTCGGCGTACGGCAGCACGTGGTGGTGCCAGCGCAGGCTCGAGTCCGGACACTTCTTTCACGGTTTGTACCTACGCTTAGGTCTGTCACTCCTGGGGCAGGAAGTGTCTGGGGGGTTCACACACACATTGAGCAAAGCAGGAATTTTTATTTCACCAGCGTTGCCATTAGGGGTGGATCCGAGGGGAGATGTAGACCCAAAGGCTGTCTGTCTGTGTGCTGAGTCTTTTTGTCTTTTGTGTTGGTAGTGGGGAGGCAACGGAAAGTCAGTGGGATGACCCTGGTGGTAGGTCATCTCAAAAGCATCATCGAGAGAGTGATATCAGAAACCCAGGCCCTTTCCTATCCCCTCCCCCAACCTCCTCTGCCGTGCGCTCTCACCGCAATTCGCCGCCGCCACAGGCCCACAGCAGTCAGCGAAACAGCCACACACCAACTCTTGTGAAACAGTGAGCGGAAACAGACCTCAGATCAAGTATCTCTCATCGTAGTCACAGGAAGGGGACTCCTACAGTGAAGTTACGTGTGTTGACAGGGCTCAGGATGGGAAAATCGCAGTTTCTTCCCTGCGGGCCTGGCCTTTTGTGCCAAGCAGGCTGTGCCTGGGGCAGAGTGCTGGCTACTGTTTGATCAACTTGGCATAAAAGCTACAATCATCTGGGAAGAGAGAAGCTCAACTGAGAAAAAATATTCCTACTAGGTTGGCCTGTGGGCAAGCCTGTGGGACATTTTCTTGATTAATGACTTGGGTCCACACCTCTGTGAATGGTGCTATCCCTGGGCAGGTGGTCTTGGGCGGTATAAGAAAGCAGGATGAGTAAGCCATGAGGAACAAGCCAGTAAGCAGCACCCCTCCCTGGCCTCTGAATCAGTTCCTGACTCTAGGGTGCACGTCTCAAGTTCCTGCCCCCTGACTCCTCTGGATGATGGGATACAAGCTATAAGATGAAATAAACACTCTGTAGTATTTTAACACTCTATAAACATTCTATAATAAGTATTTTACCAAGGCAGAAACCATAACAAAGACAGGCAATGACTATGAGAATTATGACTTTCAGTGACCAGCAGGCCCTGACCAGGATAAGATAAAGACGGACAGGCAGCAAGCCAGTGCTGGCCTGTGGCCATTGCTGGGATCTGGTCCCTTGGTGCTCTACAGATGTTAATTCCCTCTCTTCCCCTCTACCA